TGTGATTCAAAGCTAGCTCTGGCAGAAAAGTCCTCATGTGACTCTTATTTCCAATTAGCCACTCAAAAACTGGAAGTGGTGCATGGCTCAAAGTGGTAGAGCACTAGCCTTGAGCAAAAGAGCTCAGGGACAGCACCCAGATCCTGAGTTAAAGCTCCACTTTTAAAAATTCTTTTTTAAAAAAGAGAATGGCAGGGGAGGGGGGGAGATTTACTTCACAGATTGCAAAAAGATATTTTAATTAAATAAAATATTTTAAACTCAATGATATACCTACTCATATATTATTTTTGTTGTTGTTGTTCGTGGGGCTTGAACTCTGGGCCTGGGCACTGATCCTGTGCTCTTCAGCTCAAGGCGAGTGCTCTACCACTGGAGCCACAGTGCCACTTCCTGTCTTTTGAGTGGTTTATTAGAGATAAGAGTCTCACGGAGTTTCCTGCCCGAGCTAGCTTTGAACATCAGCTGGCTTTGAACGTGATCCTCAGATCTCAGCCTCCTGAATAGCTAGGATTACAGTCGAGAGCCACCAACGCCTGGCTCTACTCATATATTATTAATGATTAATTTGATAACATTATTTAATGATACACTAATAATACATTTGCAGATACCAAAGTAGTAGTACAATTATACTGTTCCACACAGTCAGAATTTCAATGCATTTGGTTTTTAAATGTACCTTTACTGTAGGCATAAATAGGTGTGATATAGGGAAGCTATCTGGTAAATATGTATTTATGAGCCCTAAAATGTTTGTATTTTCTGGCTCTGTAATTTTTTTAATCTGTCCTGGGGCTTGAACTCTGGGCCTGGGTGCTGTTCTTGAGCCTCTTTGTACTCAAGGCTAGTGCTCTACCACTTGAGCCACAGCACCACTCCCTGCTTTTCTGAGTAGTTTATTGGAGATAAGAGTCTCACAGACTTTACTGCCTGGGCTGGCTTCTAATTGTGATCCTCAGGTCTCAGCCTCCTGAGTAGCTAGGATTATAGGTGTGAGCCACCAGCACCCAGCAATAATTTTATTTCTGTTAAATTGTCTTGAGAAAATATGGATGAGTCAGGCAGAACATGAATGTTTACTGAATTTCAGGTTCTAGATGCTGTGCTAGGTTTTAAAAACATAAATCTGAATAAGGTGGACATGTACATACCTGCCCTCACAAAATATGTAATCTAATGAAGAATACAGACATTAAAAAATAATTATAGGGGCTAGGAAGGTGGCTCAGTGGTAGAGCGCTTGCCTTGCATGCCTGAGGCCCTGGGTTCGATTCCCCAGCACCACA